AACGCTGTTTGATTTAGCTTCCATCATTTTAGCGAGATCCAATGCAGGGGAGACTTTTATTCCTGAACAAATAGCTTTCAAACTTCGGAATGAATAGTATCAAATTATCAAAAGTACTGGGAAAAATCAAAACCTCTATTAGCAAAATCGTGTTGAGCCATATGATAATAATGAGAATTGTTAAGTAGTGATTTCGATGGGATACATCCGACGTTGAGGCAGGTTCCTCCAAGAGTGGGATCTTTCTCTACACAAATAGTCTGAATGGAAAACTCAAGGTATGAGATATAGCAAGTCAAGCTATTAGCAAAATAGATCGAGGACAGAAAACTTAAAGCTTTACCTTCATCCCAAGCTGCGCAGCTTTTATTGCAGCAACATAGCCACCAGGACCAGCACCTATGACCACTATATCAGCTTCTGAAAAAATGCAATTTATCAAAAAATATCAAACAAAAATGAAAATTATCTAAACATACCTTGGGCATTGCTGAGAGATCGTGTGAAAATAGAAAAGATCGCTCGTTTCGTGAATGGTGACAAGGTTGTCCTGGCTAGCGACATTTTTACCTGAAGATTCAGACAACGTAAGTGGACAATTCTCATGAGAGAGCACAAGGATTCGATCCAACGGACGTCGAAATCAATCACAACAATGAAGAGGCAAGAAAATACTAGGATATCCGAGCCTAACATCAACTTTTACCCGAAAAAGTCACCAAGAGATAGATCAATCAGATTGATGCTCAATGAATCCACATCCAAGGAAAGCTCTCATTTCACTGGTTGAATAAGCGAAATTCCTAAGACCCTTTAATTTGCTTTCGATCGAAAAAACTTCTTTTCTTGGAAATTTGAATGATCAATCATATTGAACATTTAGAGGGCGTGCCTTTCAAACTAGTCGTTCTTTGGGATCAGTCCATTCCAACTCGGTGTGAAATAATTGATGGTAGAAACAGAAAAACAAGACAGAACCAATTCTAAAACACCTGACGAATAGATGCTATATTCACTAGATAAGAAGGGTTTGAACTACTAAGATATCTGAGACATTATTCGATCATTATACATCTCACTATAACGATCAGTAATGCTGCTCCGACGAGCGTAGACTTAAGTTCATGGAAACACGGAAAGAATCTCGGCGAGAAAGAGAGAGAGAGAAGAAGTTCACCACATGTTCGCAGCATCGCAACCAGTCGATAATGCAGCGAAGCAGCTCAAGGAAACTCTCAGCTTACAAAAAAAGTCGTACTTTTTCCAGTGGCCACGATTTTCAGGAATATCGTCGCAGGAGTCACGGAGGAAAAAACTCGTGCAGCTGCCCGCCCCCGACTATCACAGCTAGCACCGCCCACGGCTTCAAAGCGGCCTCTCCATGCCGTTGGGCTCATAGCTTTTCTCCGAACCATAAGGCTGATAACCAAGTAACTACGTAATTTTCTGAAGTTTTCGAATACGTGTCTTAAAGGGTAGCTCCCTGTTTACAAAGTGATGTCGTTTGACAAGTTACCTGAGTATTTTAGGGAAAATGTATAATTAAACATACGTGTTTTTTCCTTAAACCCTCAGTTGCCAACCTAATAATTACAAAATAGGGCAGGGACCTTCAAGAAGAAGGCGTGTTTCACTCAAACGGCTATTCAAATAAGCGATTTTGTTCTGAGCCAGAGAGGAAATTTGGCATTCTTCTTATTGTCTGATTAAATCGCCAGTTTGAAAGCTTCCGAACTACTGAACTGAAAACATGTGACTGGTTACCGGTCAATGTTATAAAACGAGTGAAAATGTAGTTGG